GATATGCCCACCGCTAGGCAAAATGACGACAAGCATTTCATACACTTACCATGAGCTGTAAGGGAACTTAAAGGTCTCTTTCTGATGAGGTTTACGCGAGCCTCCGCATGCAAAGGCAGTAAAATTCTTTCGGTACAGTCTAGGAAGCACCCATAGTTCCCCATGTCACTCGGTTTCAGGGTCAAGATCGCCCCGGTCTCTCCTCCCCACACAAGATTTGTGATGATAATGTACATACGAGAACAAAAACATCCAACTTAAATATGAATTATGGATTTTACGTGATGGAGCAGCTGTTGCATGAGGTGGTTCCATTGATTTATTGTTCCACGAAACCTGATCCCACTGGCTTTGACATTCACGTGTTTAGCTACGTAAGTTTGAATTGGCTGCCATTGGAATATGTTTTTGAGCTTTGGCTCAGTTGAGTTTATCAGCTCCGCCGGTAAGTTTGTCAGCAGAAACCCATCAGTGACTTCCACAGAAAACGTTACTAAGAAATGAGATTCACCTCCTGATATTTTGATTTCGTTAGTCAAAAAAGTATTGTTGCTAGCTTTTAAGTGATCAAGAGGGAATTTGTGCTGTTTAACATTACCTGGAAAATTAGTAAGAACTAGATCTCCAACTGAGAAGTTGAACTTGTCTGTTTCCCTGTGAAAGATGAGTGATTCATCCCCATTACTCTCCAACATTATATATTGAGGAACATTAATAAACGGTGGATCGTTGACGGGTTCAACAAAAACTGGATCATCCAGATGATTTATCCCATTCTTGTTCCTTGTGGATAGCTAAAGAGAATCAACACCGGCAAAATTCTCGTTCCTGGGGGAGGTAGAGCCAAAGAAAAAAAAATGACTATCTTGTGATGCAACAAAGAACCTATGTAATAATTTCATTTATACCTGATATCTTGGATCGACTGAAGGGCGAGGTTGATAACTCATATTTGTCCTTGTAAGATTAAGAGCCTTCCATCTTCACCTCCGTTGCTAACCGAGAGTCTTCCACTTGCAGGTAGTCTAAACTGCATCAGCATCGGAGACAGAATGACTGATCCTGAAAGTGCTTGTACCATTACTGAAATGTTTTCCAGTAGGTCTGAGTAGCTTATCTCCAGCCTAGAGAAGCCACTGAAATAACATTCAAGAACAAGATTAAATTAGCTGAAGTGTAAAAAAAAAAACTAAGATAAACCTCCCAAAGCAAAACAAAATGAAGAATACTTGCCCTGATCTAGGACTAATTAGATCTTCAGTTGTTTGCAATCCGCCGGAAAAAGAGATAAACTGAGGAGGAGCAGTAAGAATAAAAGTGTATACTGTAGCTGTGGCTAAGTTTTCATTGATATCAACCATTGTATACAGAAAGGAATCATTTCCCGAAAAATCCTTGAATGGCGTGTATCTAAGGAGGTTTCCATCCCTGAGAAGAGAACCATGACCTATCTAACATCCGGAAATCAATAGAAGACAACAGTTTAAGTTAAAACAAATTTTCAACTAATTTATAAATCGAATCTGCAAAACATAGAAGAAAAGGACACTTCCATTACTCACTCACTTGTGAGAAACCTAAAATGCTCGCATTGTCCCCAACAAAGTAGTCATTTTCCAGTGGATTGAAAGAGATTGACTCATCTTCCCACACATTAACTGCATCATCATAGGCTCTTGGAAAGTATCCATCTAGATAATCATGGCGGAATCACAAAAACAAGCAGATTAAGAATATTATCTAACGACTGGAAGAGAGGTGAAAAAATCATGGTGAAAGAAAAGAAGTAATGGACTTACTGCTATACACATTTACGTCAAAGGGGCAAGATTGGATATGTTCTTTGTAAAGGAGACGCACATTCGGTAAGTACCAACCTCCATTGCCAGATAGCTACCCGTATATGTCCCATCATTATTATCGACAAATTCCCATGTAGTGAAACTTGAGGTGTTAGCTGAGGTGATCTCCAATTTTAACCGAGATGGCTGGGAAGGCACATGATTGTAGTAGCTGTCCAAGAGCAACACCACAATTTCATTCTTTATTTCCTTTGGCACTTTTGCATTGAATTGGGTCACACTACACGCCACCACATTTACTTCACCTGAGAGAATTAGCAAGAGGGTGCTGATCACAAACAATGAGAGTGAACATTTCCCAAATGAGAAACATTATCTACAATGGAAATATCTAGTTGTCTAAATTACAACATGGAGCATGATACC